GGGTTTTGACATTCATCAGTAGATGAGAACAGAACTTCTCTTTCACAGGCTTCCTTCTTCACCTTGCTTACTCCATACGTACACTCCATGTTTACTCCATGCGCACGTGTGACTGTTCTTAGACTAGGGCTAGGTGTGCTCCAAAACCAAACGAGTTCCATTTCCCGGCTGAGCTGTGGGTGTTCCTCTGGTCCTATCATGGAGCACCTTAGCTTGGATAAACAACCAGAGAGTCCTATAGATAACCCATGAGTATGATTTGCCTTCAGAGACAATACCAAGGAAGTCCATTTGTACATGCTTAACAAAAATCGTAAAGCCCAGAGGGTTTCCAAGGATGACATCGGAGCTCTAACAATGGGCTCAGGCACAGGAACAATGAAAAGAATCACACAGGACCGTCCTGTTGTGCAGAGGGTCACTATTCGCCGTAGCCAACTTGATGGCGCCTAACAATAACAACAGTCTCTACAGGCTGGCTGGTGAGTTAGAACCCCTGGCTTCTTGGTTCATAGCTGAGAGTTTTAATCACTATGCCAGCAGAGCTCCCTCATGCTTAGTCCCCGGGGAATAAAGTACCAAGGATCACTAAGTGTACTCAATAACAAGGAACTAAAAATGGAAATAAAAACATCGTACTGTTGATGTGTTCTCTTCTCTCCAAGGTATTCGCTGACAAACACCACAAGTTCCAAGAGAATTGTAGGCAATTTCCTAGGGGGGTGGCTGATATTAGATTTCTTTTTTTCAAGCAGGCATTGTGTTTTTGGTGATTGAATGTACAAGAGTAAGTGGTCCTACCTGATTGGAAACCTTGTCCTCAATTCATTGGCTATCCTGGCTTATTGTTTCCTTGGTCAGACCTTCGGATTTCTATGGAAATCGCTCCTTTGGGAAAAACCAGGCCTTCTCAGAAACTCAGGAAACTGAAATGAAAGAAAAAAATACGTATATATGTATCTGTACACTTATGTTTGCGTATTTACAAAGTGAATGCATTCTGACAAGGTTACAAGTCACATTCTGGGCGCTGAAGCCAAGCAAAGACGTCTAGAAAGGTTAATGTCAACATAAAATGTAGGCAGAGGGGCCCGTTTCCCAAGCTTCTTTATTTGAAATTCCCTTTCTTCAGTCTTCACTTAGTTAAATATGATCTTTAGGAAATTATTAAGTTGATTAATTCATTTACTCTTAAAATAAACACAGGAACTTGCAGAAGGGTGTTTCACAGAGACCCTAATGTACAATATCCATTGCATGCACACAGCTTTTGTCTTTTTCCGTTTGGGGGTATGTGTGCCGCTTTTTTAATAATAGGGTAGTGAGGGAGGAATACATCTATTAATAGGCAGTCAGTGATTCAGAAAGATACATATGTGGGAGCAACAATGTCACAAGACTGTGATCCCAAAATAATAATGGCAGCGTTGCTGAGTGGCTAAGAGAGCAGTCTCCATAAATTATAGTCACACCTGTTGCACATGATCTGCCCATAAATTCCACACCAGCCTTACTGGAAAGCAATACCCTGCAGGCATTCTCCAGTAAATCACCAACATCAAGATTCCAGATATTTGTCCCAAAAGATGTTATTTTCTGATAAATGTAACAAACATGGCCCTGAAAGTAGTGGGGAACTGTTTGAATTCCAGCTATTGCCAAAATGATTTTAATTCACAGGGACCTTATAAAACATGGTAGAACTGTTCATTGGGTTTGCAAGGTTTTGTAGAAGCAATCTACCACAGCTTTCTCCTACAGAATGACTGATAGGCTTGAATCTAGAACCTTCCAGTGAGCAACCAAACATTTCACCACTGCATCATCTGTATTCCTTATCGAGTTATTAAACAAACAACAATAAAGACCTCAATGATATAAATTTGATTCTGAAGCACAGCGAACATATCACGGCAGGACAGAACTGCCCTGTGGGTTTGCAAGACAGGAAATCTTTAGAGCAGCAGTTCTCAACCTGTGGGTTGCGACCCCTTTGGGGGTCGAACAACCCTTTTATAGGGGTCACCTGACTCATAACAGTAGCAAAATTAGTTATGAAGTAGCAATGAAAATAATTTTATGTGTGGGGGGGTCACCACAATATGAGCTGTATTACAGGGCCTCGGCATTAAGAAGGTTGAGAAGCACTGTTTAGAGAATGGAAAGCCACATCTTTCCCCAGTGGTTGGTAGTTTCAAACTGCTTTCAGCACCAGGGCTTCCATTGAATTATTAAGAGACTAGAAATGGCTTGAGATTTTCCTATGTCAAGTCTCTCCAAAAAGACAAACATCTGAATGCAAGTCATGTATCTGGGAGGTGTTCTAGAAAGCTCAGGAATGGAGTGGGCAAATGAGACAGGGAATGGAAGGATATAAATAGAGGCACTGTACTGAACATATTTCTCTCATGGGGATGGAAATGGGGATGGGATGGGGCGTGATCATTGCTCCTGCAGGGAAGTTCTAGGAGACTCAGTAGAATATACTGTAAAATTATCCCAAACAAGGGATGCAAACCTAAATTACTTATGGTCCGATGCTCACTTTCCATTTGCTAAGAACTCCTTCCAGACACATGAATGCCCGCATACGTTGGACCTCCCCTCAGAGGAGGAGAGCACGATCCTCCAGGAACAAGAGCTAGGAAGGTGTTACTTGGGCTCTGATAGTATTTGAGCAGTAGAGCTCTTTAATGGTTGGCCTGCAAGTCCAAATGGATAACATTAAGTTCTTGGGTTAACACTTTTACTTTGAGGTATTTAAATAGTGATGTATCAGTAACAATTCCTTTCATTAAATCAGATCTGTTTTTTGGTGCTTCCAGAAAGCCTTCAGCTCATAGAAAGGGATCTTTGAAAGTCCATAGGAAAATATGATGAAAAGAAAATTAATTTTTCCAGGGACTTTCTGAAGCCCCTGAAGTGACCCCCATGGAATAGTGTAGAACTGCCACATAGGTTGTAATTTTTGCATAAGTAGATCGCCAGCTCTGACTATAGAATTACTGGGTGGGTTCGTACATTGAGCCAGAAAACCCTTTGTCAGCAAGTCAGCGCCAATTCATCATCATCCTACAGGGCAGAGTAGAAGGGTCCCACAGGGCCTCGGAGGCTGGAGATCTTTCCAGAAGCAGACTGCTGCTTCTTTCTCCAACAGAGCAGCTGTCAAGTTCAAACCCAGTGTGTAACCAGATCTCCTAAATCACAGTTAGGGTTTTCTAAATTGCTCATCTCCAGAAGGACTGTGAGCATGTTTGATAGATTCCTAGTAAAGATGAGCTGAAAATAACTAGACTTAAAGTTAATCACTCATCCATCCATTTATTCAACAAACACATTTACCGACCACCTAAACTATTTCAGGGACTAACCTAGGAATTGGTGTTATCATTATGAAAATTATCTTACCAGTGAGAATCCAATCCATTGGGTAACTAGATATGTAAATGCACGATTATAATAGATATTATTGCAGAGTACTATTAGGGAGAGAGAAGACAGAACCTTAATGTATGCTTGGAAGCAATTATAAATTAGGAAGACCAGTAGAGTTTCCTATCAAACACAATGACATAAATGAATCTAAATACAAAAGAGAGGTGAATGTTGCATTGAGAGAAAAAAAAGCAAAATCATTTTGTCACAGAAAAGCAAAGTTTATCAATAAAAAAAGAAAAATTCTCCATATATAAGCAGGCTTCAGAGAGTTCATTGAAAAATTCCATTATCTTTTAATTCTATCTCTCATGAACTTTTTAAGCCCTACTCTTATAACCCATATAAAGAGGGCTCAGAGAGTTATTTTTTTGAAAGCCAGATCATGAGTAGTCTATATAAGAACCAATGATATCATATTTTATGCTAAGGAAGATGGGAAACTATTTAAGTACTGGAACTGAAAGTTAGAAGCTAGAAAAGAAGGAAATGGAGGAGAAAGAGGATAAGATTCAGAAGAATTATCTAGAAAAGTATGAGATAGGTTTTGTTTGCTCTATTTTTATTTCAGCTTTAGAAAGATCATTCTGGAGAAGATGGAGGAGGGTGGTGGGAAGCCAACATACCAAAGATGAATGATTATTCCAGTAATATAAGTCTACAAGAAAGCAAAAAAGCAATAATAACAACAACACAAATAAAACCAAATTCAATGGCATTAGGTTGATTCTAAGTCATGACAAGCCTGTGTGGCAGGGCAGGGCCCTTCCTCTTCCTCTCACCCAGCAGCTGGTCGTTTGACCTGCTGACCATGTGGTTAGTTTCAGATGCGAAGTCTGCTATTGTTTGACATGGTTCCATTCTATAAGCGATGCATTATTAATCTCTGACTCATTTCTCATTTATTTTCTTCCTAATTGTGTTTATTTTTCAAAGTTTTAATGGTGATTTATCTTGATGTAAGAATCTTTGTCTTTATCCTATTTGAAGACCACTGGGGTTGTTAACGCTGTAGTCTTGTGTTTCTGCCAAATTCGTGAAATGTTCAGTTACTTTTCTCTCACAAACTTTTCCCTTGTCGCTCTCCACTTTCCGATCTGAGACTTTAATTATAGGATATTAGCTCTTTTGTTAAAGTCCCTCAGTCAAGTTCTTCTCTGTTTTTCTACGTTTGGGACATTTCTTTTTGGTAACTTGGCAAATTCTATATTGGGTAATATCAAGGTCACTAGTTTTATGCATTGCCATCTCTACTCTACTGCTGTGCCATTATAAGAATAGTTTTATTTGGTTATTGCATTTTTCAGCATTATCATTTGCATTAAACATTTTTATAACTTCTATAATTTGCTTAGATTTCTTTTTCCATTTATTTCGAGCGGCCTGGTAATTATCTGTTGTAACATTATTTTATGACTTTAGAACTCTAATTTTATCATTCCAACATCTCGTTTTT